AGCCAAACTGTTTGCTCACGACGTTAAGGCCAGTAGCTCACCAAATAGAATTTTTGCTCAGAAGACTCCAAAGCTTAGAGGGAGCATTGCTCTGGAGCCATCCCTTCCTGAGCGAAGACAAAAATGTGTGAGCTGGAGGCTAAAAAACGGTGAGCTGGCTCACACTCAGCTTAGAGGGAATACTGGCTGTGACTTGAGGGTACTTTCCACCACCAGCTGATTGTCCCCTATTCAGTGGGACTTGGAAGTCAGTGTGCCTAGGTTTGCACCGGACCCGTGTCATCTACAGACCCCCTCTTGTGTGGTTTTATGTTGGCTTGTTCACCATACAATTGTAGCTGCTGCACAAGATCAGAGGTCTTGCCCCCAAAGCCGCTCCTTGGGCAAACTCTGCCCTCCTGAGTTGAACTTGCCAGGGGTGGCTCACGTGGCACACCAGGAAGCTGCCGTGTACTAGATGAGACCATCGGTCCAGTAAGGTTGGCATGATCTGCTCAGACCGGCGGTGACTCCCTGAAGTCTCAAGCAGAGGTCTTTCACATCCCCTACTGGCACTTTTTTAAAAAAAAGATGCCGGGAATTGAACTCGGAACCTTCCGGATGCCAATTGCCGCTCAGCCACTTTTCCCCTTTTCAAGCGGCATCGCGCCAGTAGTTAAGAGAGGCCTTTGATTTTATTGCAGCATGGGCTTCCATAGGCAGACTTCAGTGTTGAGGCTGGACCGGGGGGTGGGGCGCATATTACGGAGATGGGAAGTGGGGGGAGCAGGTTATAGAGGCTACCGGCGTGGTGGTGGTGTAGTTCATGATCCAATCAATTGGTAAGCCAGTGGCTCCTAGTGTTCATTTGGCACACAAGCATGGATTTACCTGTCTTCAGTAACACCCTATGAAGGGCGACGTTTTGTTATGGCTGAACCAGCCACAAGCCCTCCAGTAGGCCAAAGGTGGATACAGTAGCGCACTTGTGGCCTTCCTAGATTAATGGCAACTCCCCATTTTTTCCAGCCTGCCATGCATGTGATGTATTTATACCTACACTCCTACCTGTCTACTCTCGCATCTTATAATTAACTTTTGGGGTGGGCGGATTTGTACTGAAATAAATGAAAGGTGCTCTTGGGGGTCTTGTGTTAAGCCTTTTTATTGCAACTGATTCTGGAGTCGGGGAAGCTGCTGCAGATGTGTTTCTGCTGGTAATTCTTGGTGTGTGTCTGTGTATGAACCTCTGTGCATCGAGGAAGAACACAGGTGAATATTTGCCATGTGGTATCATTGCTATATGTGCACAGAATTGTAATAGAAGAGGAGACTGGATTTAAAATCCCACCCTTCCCCCAGAGTCTCAGAGTTTACCATCTCCTTTCTTTTCTCTTCCCACAAGTGACACCCTGTGAGGTAGGTGGGGCTGAGAGAGCTTGTGAGAGAAAAGCTCTGAGAGAACTTGTAACTGACCCAAGGTCACCAAGGCTTTGTGTGGAAGAGGCAGGGAATCAAACCTGGTTCTCCCAGATTAAAGTCCATGGTCCTAACATCAGACTGGAACCACGATGACTGAAGATGCTTTCCATGCCTATCGCAACAGCAAAGGGATCCAGTTTTGCCCACTTATGTAGGCAGATGCCAGACACAAAGGTGGCTGTAATACTCCACGGCAGTCAGTTCCCACTTGGAAAAGGAGTATTTGAGGATGACTACAGCCAGGGGTAGGGTGGGCGTTACTGAAACAAGGGCCTTCCCCAATCCCTTATACCAGGTGACGTCCCTGGAAACGGCAACCACTTTCACTGAGAATAGGACAGGGTCTACCCTACAGTGACCAAGAAGTGCTGGTATTACTCCTGGTCAGGGGTCATTTCATAGAAAAAGAGGTGCAGGAGCTTATTAGCATAGCTTATTTGCATATACCACACCCCCTGACATCACCGGAAGTGTGTCAGAAGGCAACACCCACCGCTCAGGCTCCACTGGGCTGTTTCGGATTGCTAGCTGTTGGGGGGGGGGGGAACCAGCAGATCTGCCCTCACGGAGGAGGGAGAGCTTGTACCTGAAGTGCGGGGGGGGAGGCGCTCTGCAACTTACCTGGCTGCTTCTTGCTCTGCGTGGCCTGACAGGGCTGCAGGGGGCGGGGCTTGTTGCATGTGCCCGCCCCCTGGGCTCCTTACTGCCGAAGCTCCGCTCCTGTGTGCTCCCGCAGGAAATGACCCCTGCTCCTGGTACATAAAAACATGGATGTCTCCAAAACGATGCCTGCCTATTTCCTCCTCCACTCTGCCCTGGATAGCCCAGGCTAGGCCAGTCCCATCAGCTCTCAAGAAGAAGAGATTGGATTTATACGCCACCCTTCACTACCCAAAGGTGTCTCAGAGCGGCTTACAAACTCCTTTCCCTTCCCCTCCCCACAACAGACACCCTGTGAGGTGGGTGGGGCTGAGAGAACTCTGACACAAACGGCTCTTTTTCAAGGACAGCTGTGCCAGAGCTTGTGACTGACCCAAGGTCACATCAGCAGGTGCAAGTGGAGGAGTGGGGAATCAAACCCGGTTCTCCCAGATTAGAGTCCGCCCACTTGACCACTACACCAAACTGGCTCAAAAGCTAAGCAGTATCTGGATGGGTGACCTCCCAAGGAATACCAGGGTTGCTATGCAGTGCCAGGCAATAGCAGAACCACCTCTGGATGCCTCTTGCCTTGGAAAACCCCACGGATCACCATACGTTGGCTGTGACTTGACGGCACTTTCGACCACCAGCGCACCTCTCCTTCTATGCGAGTTCCCCTTACTACCGCTTGCTCACGTCACTGAAGGTGCACTGTTTCACGAAGCCCCCCCCCTTCCTTCTGTCTCCTGTCCCTAGAGCCTCCTACCCTGAGGGCGTTGGAGGTGCCTCTGTTCTAATTTCCTCGTTGCGTCTGTCCACTGGCTTAAGATGCAGTGGCAGCCTGGTCTTCAAAGGCTCTTCTGGTTCTTAACTGTCCCCCCCCCTCCCCGGCATTATTAGCATAGCTTATTTGCATATACCACACCCCCTGGCATCACTGGGAGCGTGTCAGAAGGCAACACCCACCGCTCAGACTCCACTGGGCTGTTTTGGATTGCTAGCTA